AAAAAAACATATAAAGAAAATTGGAAACTGTTAGCCAAACTCTACCTTTCATTCTACTTCTATCTGCCCCTCTATTAGTGGTCTTTGTGCAGACACTCTTGAATTCATGGGATTCTTGACCACAGTGGTGATCCCTTGATTTAAGGTCAAACAAGTAACAAATATACCATAACCCTTGTCAGAGGAGAGGACCTGCGTTATTTTGAGACAAATAAACGCCTCCTTCCCCCATCCCCCCTCCACGACCGAACAAAAGATCCTTGAGGCATGTTGTATCATCCCGAGGGATTCGTATCTCACACGCTCTCCTCCACGAGCAGAGAGAGTATGCACTCCCGCTGAGAACACGTTGATGGCTGAGGAGAGACTCACACTTTAAAAGTACTAACGGTGTGTTTTTCTATTCCATGTCATCCAAAAAAGTTCTTCATTTATTCAGAAGCCTTTTCATCTTGCTTTGAATTCCTAATCCAAAATACACAAGAGGAGGTGCAGCAAAACCAGTGTTGCAGTAGTGCTTTGTTTCTCCTGGGGTGATTTTGTGAAAGAATATAGCTTACCATGCCCAGGTCACCATCGGCTCAGGAAATCCGTCAGCATCACAGGCCAGCAGGGTTGAGAAGCCCATGTCAGCGGTGCCGTTCGTTTCCACTTGACGGATTCGTATAGTGGGCAGGACTGAGCAGAAAAGAAAATTGCAGCTTTGATATGTGGCGCCGAATAAAACTTCTAAAGCTTAACCCTCTTAGCTACATACCATTTTTTAATCTACTTCAAAAAGAACACTTAAATATAATTAATATATGTTTTTAAAACAGTTTTTACCTTAAGGCAACATGAAGTATTGTGTTTGAATGGACAAATTCACACAAAAATTGTCAAACTGCCCGTCTTGGTGAGCATCCTAGCAGACATAGTCGGCTGAACGTACAGTATCAGAGCACTGGATCAGTGCGTTCTCTTAAAGTGGCAGCACTTTCTTAAAGTTAATCAAACAGCAACAACATGGAAATCGTTCACTGCTCTTGTTTGAATAACTTTTGTAACTTTAATAAGGATTAATCTTGAACTTATACAGTCAAATATGCAATGTTATTTTACATTTGATTTATTCAATTTCTGTACCTAAAAACTATGTTAGACCTACCTAAAAAAACTGAAAAGCACTGTTTATTTTATTTGTATCTTTTTTCACTGTTCAGGGCTGTACGTTAACTTTTTTTTGTTGAAAGTTCCACTTTTTTGTGAAAAGGTTGAAAGTTTTGTAGCACAGGCCAAAAAGTTGTAGCACAAGTATAAAACGTCTGTTATCGTGTCTGAAAACAAACACAAGTAATTTGTTCTTATTTTCTTTATTTTTATTTGACAATATAGTTTTCTCCTTAAACATAGCACATACCGAACCGTACCGAAACTGTGACTCTAAAACCGTGATACAAACCGAACCGTGCGCAAGTTGAACCGTTGCACCCCTAATATATATATATATATATATATATATATATATTTCACACATGCATAGCCAAATCAATTTTAATAAAATATAATTAACATTTAATCAGAAATCATGTTGTATATACACTTGCTGCCTTCAGGGAACAACCATTGCAGAACAAGAAATTAGCACTTTACAGAAATTGAAAATGCCAGGATGTGAACCTCCTTGAATACTAATATAAATATATACATAATAAGGGGAAAAATAAGTAAAAGTATGTAATGTACAACTACAAAATACTATTGACTCCATTATAGTACAATGTTGCCTCAAGCCTCAACGTGCACAGTTTCATAAAATTTCGATAATGTGTATTATATAAAGTTATTCAAAATACATCTTTACTCTTTCATAAATGTGGCTTTTGATGAAAATAGAAGAGAATTTGGCACTGCAGCAAATCTGGCACATGCTGAAAAAGGAATCAAATTGGCTGCCAATGGATGATATAACCAATTTTTGTGTAAATATTTGCTGCTCCTCTCTTGATAAAAAGGAACTCACAAATTAAGTGCTGTATTTTGTTACTACGGCCCGCACTGTGGTCGCTCAAGCAGACTAAACAACAACATAAAGAGAACCTGCCAAGGAGTCAAATTGGACTCAAACTAGAAAACAAATAAACAGAAAGGCAGACATAAAAGGTGAAATTATATTACCGGGTTTACTGCAGGAAGGAAAATGACAAAGCAAATAAGAAAGAAATCAAAAGGAGATGAGAGAAAAATGTCTGTGGAGCAGCTTGACAACAGCTACTTCAAAAAAACGTCTGATCCTCAACACAAAACACTGAGCTTTATACACCAACACAGCTGCTGATCAAATACACATTTGTGTATTTTGTGTATATTGTGATATGTTCTTTTAGCTAAATCAAAAGAGCTTTTCTTAACCAGTTAGCACTATGCTAAGCTAGTAGGCTAAGCTGTTAGCTTGCAAACTGAAAAGACAAAGAAAGAAATTTATAATTTGACCAATTAAGCTTGTAATCCAATTTAATGGGATTAATGGGCTATTTAAATTATGAGAATAAAAATCTAAAGAATGAAAATGTAAAGCATTTGTATAATTTGTCATTTGAGACATGTTGTCTCAGCCAGTGGAATGGCTCTGGAGTCAAAGTGGGATCGGATTCTGCGGGGATCTTCTACCTCACCTGAAACGTCCAAATCCAGAGCATTACAGGTACAAAAAGATGAATAAGAGCTCACCGTTAACAACCACTTTAATGCTGCGGAAGTCAACCTCTCCGCGGGCTTTAATGCGGCCCTCACAAGTGTAGACACCCCCGTCGGTCTTCCTGATCCCTCGGATTTGGAGATGGTTGTTATTCAAAGTCCTGAAACGGACTGTGGAACAGCACAAGGGTGAACAGATGTCTGCGAAATTGCGTATTAAAATCGCATGCAAAATGATCAATTTAACACTTTTTTTCATCTGTTATCACAGGGATTAATAAAGTGCCACATTTCTGAGAAAGCAGCATTAGGCTGCACTAATGATCTCATCAATTTATTAATGAACGCAAACAGTGAGAGTTAAAGCAAAGCAAATCACACTTCTTATGTAACGCATTATTTTTCACATGTAAAGTGTGGAACTTTTGACGTACCATCTTTTTCGAACTGGATCTTTGCACCTTTGTATTTCCAGAGGACGGTGGGTGGAGGTGAGCTTATGACGTCACACACTATAATGGCATTGTCCCCTTCAGTGAACTCTTGAGGTGATGGGACATTTGTGAAGGTAATTTTTTCTGGAGGAAAAAACAGTCCAGCAACAACTTCAATTTATCATGCAATGATTAATTTTGTATTGTTGTAGTCTACAGCAAGGAACGAAGTCATCATCCAAAATAAAGTCTCCTCAGAAGCACCTTCAAAAAATATAAATACTGCATTTCTGGAAATATAAGTTGCATTTTTTTATCATCTGAAATGGGCTGCGACTTGTATTTTAAAGTGACTTATAAATATATTAGTGCATTTAACGTCAATCACGCAAAACATTTGGTTTTGTGCTAAATTAGTTCAAGTTTACTTTGTATAGTGCATTTCCATTTCACTTTAAATAAATACATTTAGGCTTGGCATTTATAATACATTTTTATAATGAATGCCACTATCATTTGTGTTTGCTTTAGGGCTGTCAAAATGGCTGAAAAACTAAATTCTAATTTTGTACTTAAATATGATCAAAATTCAAATTATATTCGAATTTAAAATGCATAACTTCAGTCAGGGTGAAGAAAAGCGTTTGGCTTCTCTCCTGAGGCCACAAGAGGGCGCATCGAGCTAAATATTACTAATGCACTTTTATTCAAAGCATAAGATAACATGACTATCTGTGAAAAAAGTGCATAATGTTTAAAATAATGTTTATAAACCAATTATAAATAAGTTGCTTAAACAACTATAAACAAAACAGCATCATGTATGTATGCATAGTTTAATACAAAGGGCGGAAAGCCAATCACACAGAGTACATTTTTCATTTAAAAACATGAGATGCAGTGGGATGGGGGGGAAAAAAGCATTCATTTTACATGGCTTTCTGAACATGCGATGAGATGCGAGTACAACGGTGATAGATGTCCCTCTAGAAAATGCGATAAATATGTGTTCTGTGTGAACGGCTTGGTTTCAGTTTTGATGTAAACAAGATCTTCTCCGCATTGATGTTCTCTTTTTCCGCACTATTTTTAATGAACAACGCAGCATCTAGTGGCTTCAACTGGATAGGCTAACAAAAACATTATAATGCAACGACACTTACATTGTCATCGCATCTTGTGCGCCACTGATAAGGCTGCCTCCTTAACAGACATCTAAAATTCGAATGCAACGTTTTTGCATTCGAATGTGGATTTTTATTTTAAATTCGTTGAATATTCAAAATTCGAAAAAAAAATTTGACAGCCCTAGTTTGCTTTATACTTACATTTTTCATTCCTGTTCTGTTCTGAATACCATTAAAATTAAAGGATTTGTTGTTGAGTGAGGGGAACTAATATACATGTTTATAGTGTTTGTAAAAGTTTTGTTTTATTTACTGGCATTTTACATTACGTTTACATTACATTTACTTGACTGATGAAACATTTCATTTTTTTCTGTCTCAACAATGTAATTTTGACCCGGGGCGACTTGTGCCATTTATTTTCTGGAAAATACAATGAGCAGAAGCATAAGTGAAAATTTAAACTGTTGACGGCACTAAAGAAATTGAGATGGAGACCCCACAATTGGCACAAGGAATGTTCAGACCCTCTCCAACTAGTGTGCCAAACTTCATATGTTTTTCCCGTACAATACATAGAAAATGTGAATTTAAATTTGACATCACAACTTTAATTTTGCCATACTACTTCATATATTCTTCCAGCACAGATTAATCAAACATGTCATATCTTACGGTATATCTTCAGATTGACAGTGGCTTCGGCTTCCCGATCACCACTGCTGGCCACACATTTGTATGTGCCAGCGTTGTCAACCTTGGCGTTATAGATGGTGAGAGTGGAGGACGTCTCGTCATTGCGAATCACACTGACATCCAGTCTGCCCAGCTCAATTTTCTCCCCGGTTGGAGCAAACCAGTCGATTTCCTTGGCCCCACCGATAACTACAACCCAAACCAAATGAACATATCAACATTAATGAGATGATCTCATGAATTAAATGTATCATCATATAAATCAATCTGTTAAACGTTAAGCTTGTGTAAACATCCACAAAGCAGAGATGAATCAATCAAAAGCAAATCGGGCCTGGCGCGATTGAATTGTTTGCTTGAATTAGTTGGGATTAGGTGTCGCTGGCACAACAGCTGTCAGAAGGCACAACCTAAAACTTCAACCGATTCTCAGGTTACCAGTCTATTACCCAAATCAGTGGACCGTAGGACACAGCACTGGTGAAACCTCTAGTGCTGAGAGCAATTATCAGAGCCGCTGTTCCATGCCTTTGGGTCTTCAAACGAAGCCCAGAAGAGTGGAACGAGGAAAAATGTTTTTCAAAGTGAGATATAGGCACACAAAGGTTTAACGTATTCCTCTTGTAGCCTTATTCACATGGATCTCGTTTACTGAGTCCTCTGTGATATTTGCTGACATAGAACACCATCAGCGACATTAAAGTTGAATTCACACTAGTGTACCATTTCAGCAAATGAATCATCTAGAAGATTACTGCTTTTTTAGGTTACAAAACATGGAAAACCTGACCTTTTAGGACCAGGAATTAGGTCACTAAAACTGTGTACCAGATTTTTAGAAGGTAACATTGAGAAGATTC